AATAAAATAACAAGGTCAATTTAACTGTTTCAAAAAAACAAGGTGTTGGACAAAAATAGAGACTTCTCATTAAGGTCATGGAGACTAATTCCGTGTTAGACTAATAAAAAAACAATTAAATTTGTTTTCAGCGATATTAATAAAATAACAAGGTCAATTTAACTGTTTCAAAAAAACAAGGTGTTGGACAAAAATGGAGACTTCTCATTAAGGTCATGGAGACTAATTCCGTGTTAGACTAATAAAAAAACAATTAAATTTGTTTTCAGCGATATTAATAAAAAAACAGTCCGGTGGGTTATAAATTTTTTTATTTTGTTTTATTAACTAATTCCATTTTAATTGTGTATTTAAAATCCGTGTTAGACTATAATCCGTGTCGGTTTATAATCCGTGGGTCATAAAATTTTTTTTAAGTGTTATTAAAAAAATCATTGAAGTGTTATAAAAAAAATTAATCCATTATAATCCGTGGGTCATAAAAAATCATTGAAGTGTTATTAAAAAATTAATTTTTTTAGAACATATATAAATGTTGGTTTAATTTTAATATAATTTGAATTTTTAAAATCGTTAATAAAATTTGTTTAAGTGTTTGAAATGTTTGAAGTGTTAGACTATAATGAAGGATAATAATAAAATTTATTAGAAAATCAAAGTATTAATCTACTCAACGAAATACATCAATTGTTTTTTCGATCCTAATTAATTGTTCTTTCTTCTTCTTGTTGCTGCTCGACGTTCTCCATCTTCATTGTGGAGACGGTTAAAGTGACCGATCGAGAATGCAAATTGTGCATCTAAACCATCTGCAGATTTGTCGTGATGGTCGTTCCAGTAAAATGCTATGGGTGGTACCGGATGATCCCCTGGTTTCATATGCAACTGGAAAAAAATGTACAAATATTGAAGTTATATTCTTATATAAAAAATTAAAGTTAAAATTCAACTTGTTTATATGATCGTCGACTAGTGTAATTTTCTTACCAAAATCCAATGATCATTGCTAAGATGTCCGCACACCACCTTTCGGGTTGGAGGTCCTTGTGTTTCATCTAATATCGCTGGCAGACAAGTATTTCCTCCATGTTCACTGAATGTCATGAAAACAACATTATATGTTGTTGCAATTACGTGACCGCAATCCGGTACCGCCATCCAGTAATCATCATCCGCTGGTCCATGGTAGTGAGCAATCGATTGGATGAGATTAGTCACATTAGAACTCCTCGCACTCCTCCCACCTAAGATTCGAGCGTACAAGGCGCTTCTATTCTGTAGATCTGCTACTAAGTCTTGTCTAACTTTAACCCAATCATCTTCTGTTCCGTAAATTGCTAGAGCCACCGCTCTAAATCCACAATTTCCGTCTGCCGCTACATCTGTGCATTGATCTATGTATTTTCTAATGTAGGGCGGGAATTCTCTCTCAAATACAGAATTCTTAAAGATGAACGTGGTGCCTTTGGAAGAAGGGGTTGACATTGGAGGCCTTGAGCACGGAGGATTTGGAGAAGATGGTGATACTGGTGGCCCCGTACGTTGGGATGTGCTCATTGGACTCCCCTGTGATTCAGAGATAGAAGCAACACGTCCAGGGCCCTTTACAAATGCATAGGTTGACAATGTTAAATTGAGAATAATAAATTAGTAACTAATATAAATCATAATTTTCAAATATAGAAATTCATAAGTTATGTAGTATTACCTTTTTGTTTGGAGACTTTTTAAATCCGTACTGTTTCACAACCCTCTCCCACGCCGAAGGTACACGGAGACTAGAGAGCTTTTTACCCTTGGTTTTCTTTTTAGCAGTAGGAGGTGCAGTAATATCAGGGACTTCTTCGAACAACGCCCTCCTCACTGGATTTGGTGGAGTCGGGGATCCATCCGCGGCATCATTAGGAAATATTGGAAACTGAATATCTAACTTTTTCCAATAATCATGTATTTGATCCAACGGAATGCTATACCCATTTATGATGTAGTACTGAAGCTCATGTGCGCACGGTAGACCATGAGTTCTCCTTAGGTAGCAACCACACGTTGTTGGATCCTGACCCATTTCTTGTAAAACTTGCATTTCTTTCCTTATGAGGCCGAATGCTTTAAACGTGATTGATCTGTTCAGATTAACAAACAACGTATCTCCAAGGGTGTCTGTGTTGGATTTAGTAGCGTTAACTCTCGCTACTTTCTTAATCTCACAGATTTGGCCTTCCATCACCTTGTGAAGTTTCTCCAGTACGGTATCGAATGGGTACCGACCACCATCTAAATGTCGTTTGACGCGATGATGTTCTCCTTCGACCCTGCATTACCAATTGAACTTGAATATTAATTATTAATGTTGACTACATGTAACGATTATTTAGTCACGTAAATCTCACAAGGCTTACCTATTTGTTGTGTAGCTTCCGAAGTGAAAATAATGGTCGATGTAAGCTGACAGGATTTTTTGGGAATGCGGACTAATCCATGTGTCAATGCAGTAGTTCAGCAATGCTCCCCAATTCGAGTAATGTGCTGCCAGACGTCCCCATCTATCATTAAAGTCATCTATGGTCGGTGCACTTATCGCCCAATTCCAACGAAATTTAAATCCTTCTGCCGCCTCTTTTAAAAAACCAGGTTGCTGCAGTGCTCGTTGTAGCACGCATTGCTCAATGTGACGGCGACACAAATGATGCCTGGATTCCGGGAAAACATACTCGACAGCATGCATCAAGGCGTAATCTCGGTCTGTTACAATGACATTAGGTGTCACTTGGCTAACGAACAAAGTACGGATAAACTGTAACACAAACCTGCAAAATAATATAACATTAATAATTTTAAATTTAAACGTAGGACAAAATAACTGTACTAAATAATTGTCAATTGTAATTTATAACAACAAATTAACATAATAACAATATTAATGACAATACTACAATAACAATGTTAATAACAATAATAATACTATAATAAGTCCTAATTAAACAATATAATAATTTTCATAACAGTAACAACTCCTAATAATATTATAATAAGTTCTAATTAAACAATATAACAATAAAAAAATAACAATATAATAATGTTCATAAAAATAATAACTCCTAATTAAACAATACTAATAATGTTCAATAAAAATAATAACTCCTAATTAAACAATTCTAATAATGTTCATAAAAATAATAACTCCTCCTAATTCAACAATTCTAATAATGTTCATAAAAATAATAACTCCTCCTAATTAAACAATTCTAATAATGTTCATAAAAATAATAACTCCTCCTAATTAAACAATTCTAATAATGTTCATAAAAATAATAACTCCTAATTAAACAATACTAATAATGTTCATAACAATATTAACTCCTCCTAAATATTCAATTTAACATTATTCATAACATTGACAAACAATTGTACTAAATAATGTTAATTAACAATTTTAAATTTAAACATATGACAAAAATTAAAATTCATTAAGACACAAACCTGTAGTTTTCTTGTCTCTCATTTCGCATGAATGCGTAGGCGATAGTGAACGTTTTGTCCGTACTTGTTGCACCGACCACTTCTAGTAGAGGCATGTCATACTCATTGGTGTTGTACGTACAATCAATCATCATGACTTCCGGATATGCATTCACCATCACAAAAGAAGCCGGGTGGCAGAAAACAATATCTCCAAGTTCGGAAGATTCATCAGCAGTCCGAACGTCGTACATGTAGTTCAATTGCCTGAGTAAATGGATGAAATTATTCATCGGGGTCCGACCTTCTCTTTTCTGGGCACGCACCTTACTGACAGCATTGTAAACTTGTACACGATTTGTTCTCCGGATCAGCCCTTTTCATGGACGCCAACATATTACTCGGGCTTAAATTAAAATTCTCTTGCTCCCTAATAACTTCAAGTTGAATAGGGGATATTTTACCTAAACGAGATCCCACAGCATGAGACGGGAATGGATGGTTGTGTCTCCCCTCCCGGACTTCAAAGTACCAGCGCCCTCCAGGGTACTCCATTCCGTCCAACCAAAATGGACAATTATTTTTTGTCGTTTTAGTGGACCTAGTTCCAGTAACCTTTTTTGGTCTGTATCCGCCACCTTGGCTACATAAATATCGAACTTTGGGCCGTCGGCCGTCTTTTCCCTTCGAATCACGAATTGCCAAAGTAACGTTCCTCAAGCCAGCAACATATCTTACATGAGCATCCATGTCCTCTCTACTAGCAAAACCTCCTTCCGGATTACCGAAATCGGTTGAAATGTCTTCAAACTCTACATATGAACTATGATCCTGGAATGGATCACTTTGTGTTTCGTCGATGACGAATTCAACTTCATCAAGATTTATGGAGTTGTAATCTCCAGAATTCATATTGTTTGTGATTGTAATTGTAAGTGTTTGAGTTGTGAGTGTTTGAGTTGTGATTGTGATTTGAAAAACTTAAACTGTTGGCCTTTTTATAGGTAAAAATCTAAGAGGTCAAAATCAATTTTGACATTTTGAGTGCTCAAATCAAATTAGTAAAAAATTCTGAGTGGTGTAATTTATTTTTGAAAAAAACGATTTTATGTAATTTGTGTAAATTGTATTGGAAATGAAAATTGTTATAAAAATTCGAAATCGGAATTCGAAGCCAACCGGACACCATAAAATCGATTTGACCACATTTTCACCATATTTTCACCAATTTTTCTACCGTTTTCACCACCGGAAAATTTTATGCACACACAAAATTACATTAATTGTTGAAAATGTGGTGCATAAAAATCCCCGTAGTATTAATCTATGGGGAAAATTTATGCACCACATTTTCATGCACACACAAAATTACATTAATTTAATGCACACACAAAATTTATTAGAAAATCAATGGTTGAAAATTTGGCGAAATACATCAATTGTTGAAAATGTGGTGCATAAATTTTCTTGCCAACATTAAATTAGTGTGTTCAAAGTATCTGGTTTCGAAAATTATTATATTGTTCAAAGTATCCGGTTTTCGAAAATTATTAAATTGGTGCATAAATTTTCTTGCCAACATTAAATGGCAAGAATACAATGCCAATCCGGTACCACATTTAATCAATAGTCCACATTAAATGTACAAAGAGGTCGCGGTCGCTGGCGTGGAGGCGGCTGCGGTCGGTGGAGACGAGAGGAGAGGAGTTGGGGTGGCGAGGTTTGCTGACGGGGGTTGGGTTCGTTTGAAGAGAGAAGGAGAGAACAAAGGAGAGAGAGAGATGAAGTGAGATGGAGAGAGAGTGTGAGAGAGAATGAGCTGGAGAGTTGTACGTGGGTTTCTTGGGTTTTAAAAGAGGAGAGAGAGTGAAGAAAATATAATAAAGAAGTGAGTGATTGAGTGATTGGTTGAGTGTGAGAGATTTTGTTGGATTAGAGAGAGAGTGTCAGAGAGAGAGAGTTTGATTGAGTGTGGGATTGGAGAGAGAGAAGAACGGCGGAGAATTTAATGAGAGAGATTGTGCGGGATAGGGTGGTTGGGAGGACGCGGGTTGAGAGCTGGGGGAAAACACGAGGCGGAGGGGTATACAGAGTGAACACCGGTGAGAGGAAAAACACGGGGAAAAATACCCCTTTAAATAATTTAAAAATATCATAAAATTTATTTAAAATAAATATTAAAATTTATGGTCAAAATAATAATAACAATAACAATGATGAATAATTAACTATTTATTTAAAAATTTTACCAAAACAATTAAATTTATAATTAGCAAAACTTATTAAAATAACATAATATCGTATTTTTAAATCATAGAAAATTCTAGAGAAATTGAGAAAAATACAAATACTCTTTTAGAAAAATAATATTTAATATTTAAATACCAAAGAATTATTTAAACCCGTATTAGAAATTTACGGTCATTACACTAAAAGATATGATATACAAAACAACACAAGACAGATAATCATGGAAGGTCAAGGTGATATGACACAACAACATATAAAAATGAATTATATGTAGTATATCACATCAAAAACAAAAAATTAATTATAGACGTATATCACAGCAATAATTATCGAAAACACACACTTTATATAAATATTATGACTAAATAAATGAAGTAGACTAACATGGACAAAGAACAAAATAAAAAGTAAGTATTAGAATGAATAAGAAACTGTATATAGAAAATAAGTAAGCAAAACACAAACAAAACTAAGAAAGATGAAATGATTGATAAATTAAATCAAACAATGATGATAGATGTAATTGGAAGTAAAGAATGAAATGAGATATACTAAATGAAACTACTGATGAAACGTAAAAGAAATAACTATGTTAACTAATAAATAATATAACCCCGATAATACAATAAACTAATAAATTAATAAAATTAAAGATAACATAAAACGACATACAAGAAAACATATAACTTGATAAGTATCCAAATAATAATGGTAATAAAACACGTACATGAAAAGTAAAATGTGACCAAAATTATGTGGTAACATACACAGCAAACATGTATAAATACATGTACAATACGTAGAATAAATGTAACACAAAATAAAAATAATTACACTATAACGTGACCACAAACAAAATTTATAATAAAAACATAATAAATACTGAATCACAATAAGTATAGCAATACACAAATTAAGACGTGAAAAAGAAATGAGTAAGAATACACTCCACAATATAAGACGCACCAACTACAAAAATATTACGACTAAATACGTAACCAAAATACAATATGTAAAAATACAAAAATCAAAGAATATTACGACTAAATACGTAACCAAAATACAATATGTAAAAATACAAAAATCAAAGCTAAACAAACACCAACATTGTAACAACCTTTAATAACCCTATTCACAAACCATAAAGCCATAACACTACACACTCGCACCCAAAAATAACAACTCCTATCCAAAGAAAAATATAAGAATAAAACGATATTGATATAATATGATCTATGAAAAACACAAAATAAGATAGACGAAACAGAAGAGTAACACGATGTAAAACAATATAAGTTAAAATAATAAAAATACAAATCTGATAAGAAGAAACATACATGAAAGACTCAATGTATTTAAATAAGTAACGAACAAACTGGCAGTATAAAACTCAAGATAACTCAACACATACAAAAATCGTAGAATACGCTGTAACATAAATGCTTACTAATAATACTCACACTCACAAACATACTACTAGATAAGGAAGTATGATATATAAAACAAAAACTATGAAAGGTAAAATAGGTATATAAGCAAATGAGAACATAAGAAGAGCATAATTCTGTATAATAAAAACACCAATGCATCGTAGATAAATATAGTTACACAGTTAATACTATAAATAATAAATAACTACAAATCAATAACATCGTAAATATAATAATCTAAGTGAATACACTATAATAAAAAGAGAATAGTAATTATAAAAGAATAAAAGTAAAGCACAACACAAGTAAGCGAAAATAATGAATAGAGAATGAACAACAACTAATAACACAATAAAAGACGTAATATCTAAAAATATCATAAAATAAATACTAAAAATAACACGCGTATACAATGTATTTTGTTACAATGATAAAATAATACATATCGAAAACTAAGCAAACAACAACAAATATGCAACTATACTATAAACAAACCATGAATAAATACTTTACATACTCACAAATGCTATTTAGAAAAATCTTTTATATTAGGAATAAAAGATTAATAACCAATGGTACGAGATAATGTAACAAAACTATATAATTAGTAACTCAGTTCAAACCTAACAATATGAATAATTGTTTGAATATCAAAATAAAAATACATTGCTCTTAGAAATAACAAAACCAATGCGAACATAATAAAATAATCTAACAAGGTAAAACTTACTGATAAAAACTATATACTGAAAATGTAAATGATAAGAATATACTGTATATGTAGAATATTAAAATCATGAAATTATTAAAGTATATCATGAAATACGAACAATATACAATAATCTAAACATAAGTAATTAATAGATAATATGACAGAAAAACATACACATACACAAGTTTAGATATGCAAAAATATATTTAAACACAAGAAAATAATCTAAATATCAGATATGATATGCAATGTATATGCGGAGTCTAGAGCAATGCAAAACACTTAATAACATGGTTTGAACAATTGAAATATATAAGTAATGGTATATATTTTTTAATGAAAGACAAACAATATAACACTGCGTATGATGCATAAAATAATGTAATACATAATACAGAAATCAATACAATTAAACAATAACAACACATGTAATAACGATCGGTACGAGGATAGAGGAGTTATACAAGAGAGGGTAATTGCGAAGCGATGGGACAAGAACCGTGGAAAATTCCGGAGTCAAAGAGTGATAAGATAGGGATGAAACGAAATCTATCAAGGAAATAGGATAATGGTTCAAAAATAGTCTCACGGATGATATATATGATATGTATCTAAATTGTCCACTATATTCTTACTCATGAGTACTCGGGACCGTGACCTGCATGGGCCACCACTAAAACCTGTCACGCCCCGCTTCCCAAAATACACGGGAATCGGAACGTGAACAAGCCCGTGACGTATTAGATTGAGCAGAATATACACTATCAATTTTTTTTCTTTCTTTTTCTTTTCTTCTCAATCCAATACGCTAAGCGTCTGGAAATAAATACAACGTGAAGTCACAGGTCCCCGATCACAATCAGCAAGAATATAATAGACAAACTCAGAATGAAAGAATACATATCATATCACAAATGAATATTATCCAAGACATA